GTCTCGGGAGCAGAAAGTTGACTGACACTTGCTATTACTTTGGTTCATCCTGTCGTAGTTGCCCGTTCTCTTAAGCGATAGTGTTAATGGATTATGCTGAGGAATTCTGGATAAGTGTGGACCAAAAAACCCCTTGGACCTGACTCTAGGGCTGAAGCTGACATCCTTTCAAGTGGCTGTGCAGGAAAAATAAGAGGGGGGGGGGTGCTTCCGGCGGGTGGGAACGTGGAAATGTGGTCGTGTCCAAGTTTTGTTCTGTGAAGATGCTGAATGAGAATAACCTGTTGGCGCTGAAGATAACAAACCTGGATGAGTGCGGGATAGGAGGTCCTCGTTGTTGCGGTACGTCCGAGTCTTGTGATCGAATTCCCCTTGCAGGGCGTTACCAAGGCATCATCTTCAAAGTGCTACAGAAAACTGTGCCAACAGGCCAGAAAAATAGCGCGAGTCAATCTCGTCTGTTGCGCAAAGTCGCAACTCAGATCTCATAAGCCAGACCACATGAGCGCAGGTTTCGATGTACCACCTACGCTGGCATGGGAGGCCCCACATCTGGTAGCTCTCATGACATCTAGGCGGAAACAGCGCTGTGTTCAGTCCCTTTTGGAGTGCTCGATGCGACACGCTTCGCGAGAAAACGAGGGTATGAGGAGCAGTTTGTTAGGTGAGTGGCATCACACATAGCGCTATCATGGTGTAAGGCGTCATGCTTTGAACATCAACCAGCTTTCCGCGCTTAGAATGAGAAACCAGTTACCGCAGAAGTTGTATGTATCACAGCGATATCAAAGCACTATCAGACCACAACAACGCGTACAAAGTAAGCACTTCCTAGAGCTGCGGTCTGTACAGGATAGAACGTTGCGGAGGGAGGGGCGCGTCAGGCGGCAAGAGTTTGACGCGGCGCCAAACCCACCTCCACCAGTTGAGGACGCGGGTAAGCGACAACAACTGGTGGAAAGCGACTGATACAAAGATACGATGCAGATTTGTCGCTTGCTCTTTTCAACAGCTTGTTGGGGGACGGGCTTGGCGCCGCGCCAAACTCATCCCGCCTGACACGGCCCTTCAACCGCAGCGAACTAGACTGTACTCACCGACTTGTGCGATTCAGTCGCAGTGATTGGCGGGTCATCCTCCCCCGAAAATGGTTGGGTCGCTGCAATTGCAAATCCGATCACATTCAGGATATAACCTTGTATAGTCGTTGCAGCGGTCTAAAGATTGCTGATGGGGCGCGATAGCAGGCAGCCGCGCGATCGAATCCCTCGAGTTGTGGAGTATGAACGGGACCCAACTAAGGAAAACACGTTCACCAAAGTATTTCAGAAGAAAATGAACGAGTGGTTCAGGTGGACGTTCAACGATGACCGCAGTTGGTGCTGTTGGTCCAGGATCTACAATGACTGCAGTTGGTGCCCCTGCCGGAGGTCCAGGTTCTACAATGACTGCAGTTGGTGGTGTTGGCCCAGGATCAACGATGACTGCCGTCGGTGCTCCTGCTGGTGGAGCAGCTTCAACCATGACTGCTGTAGGCGCTCCAGGTAATGATACATGTTATCGCGTCGATTGTACTACCACTGTAACCAGTACACAGAGATAGTGATATCAACTAAGGGTACGAAGCAGGGTGAGGTTTTGTGCAAAGAACGAACTCGTTGGGAGACTATTGTGAAGACTGATCTTCATTTTCGAGCCTCGGAAGGCAGCAATTCGCAATGTTCCGTCGGCATCCATGGCACTTATAAGAGGACTTTCACGGGGAGGGGGAGGGGGTAGAACCAAGCTCACGGGGATGGATGAACCACTCTGTACATTCCAATTTTCCACAATTGATGGGGTGGTCCACTTACTTAAATCTCTCTATTCCTTTCAAAACGCATAGTGGTGATGCTTGCGGTACTGGTCCCTGTAAACGATAGGGCGTGCGACAGGCGTACACTGGGGCGCTGCCAAGACGGCCTTCATCGATGCTATCCGAGTCCGCAACAATTGGCGGGAAGGGCCGTTCAATCAGCGATCCAACTAAAGCCCTATAACATGTTAGGTGATAACTACGACTTTCGGTGAGGAGGCGGCTAAGAGAACCGTAAGACTCCGCTCCGCCGCGCCGGCGATGGACGCGGCGTTTTCTTAAAGGCAGTTGGCACGATGGTTTCCTACTTAGCCTAAAATGCTAGTAGGGCGCTGTATAGTGGGGAAATGGCGAAAGAACGGAGTGAAACGGTCAAAATCCGGCGAAGAAAAAGCCTCCGTTCTCAGTGACTTGTAAATCGATTTCGGACGAGTTTCCCGTAGGCATCTTACCAATCACCGCTACCGAAGATACGGCTGCAT